GTTTGACCAGTATGAAATAATACCATCATGATCATGTGGAGGGGCGGTGTTTGACTTTCTGGAGATGGACTTGAAAGTTGCAGATAAGATGGTATTGTATCCTGTGGCCCTGTGATAGACTGCTGATGAGATTCTGTCAGATGCTGTGATAAATTTGCTTGACGTGTGGAATGGACTGAATGACTATGGTTTGGCTGGATAACTTGATCAGAAATAATACGAACGGAAGTTGATGGAGTAATTTCTATGCGAATTTCTACTTTTTCGTCAGAAGTCAGCTTTTTCATAAAAGGAACCAAAGATAAGCAATAATTAGTATCGTCATCTTCATTAGACTGAAGCGCCTTTATTATTTGTTCATCAACGTTGGTTTGCTTAGTTCTCCGTTTTCGTTGCGGGTATGATTGTGCATCGTCTGATAAATTAGCGTCGCCCTGGTTTGATTCACTGGTCTCAATACTACCTTCAGTAGGTTGTGATTCCTTACAGGGTATTAAAAACAACTTGCGCTTCAAGTTAACATATGGTCGCCGTTTTAAAGCTGTTTGTTCAAATTTTACTGACTTTTGAGCTTTCAGTTCTCTAGCGAAACAAGTCCTTAAGTCATTTCATTTTTTTATTTGTTATTCAAATTAATTTTATACCTTTACATAGTGTAAAAGGATGTCGCCCTCTCTGTACCATACGATAAATTTTGAAACGGTAATTAATCTATTTTCCTCTATAAAGGTTGATAAATGAAAAATAAAAAAGAAAACTGGACCTTCCATTACAAAGTGAATTTCATACAAAGATCCTAAAATCATTATGCACATGGTGACAAACTATATTTATAATGATGAATGCTTTTTTGCAAGTATTTGGCAACGGGGCATATTTTTCTCAACTTTCATGAGATTATTTGATAGGTGAATCTACAATCAGAGATATAGTAAACTCTACTTGTGAGCAAATATGGAATGTACTTCATTCGCAATATATGTCTGAAAATACTGAAGAATATTGGATTAGAACTGCTCATGAATTCTATAAACGTACGCAATCGTTATAGGAGCGATAGATGGGAAAAACATTCGAATCGTAAAACCGCAAAATTCTGGATCGCCCTTTTTTAATTACACGAACTTTTTTCGTTATGTTTTGATGACTGGATTGATGTCGACTACAAGTTGACTACAGGTGCGTACGGAAGCAGTAGTGATTCTGAGATATTTAAGTCATCACAAATGGGCAAACTATTAATTGAAAACAGACTTAAATTCCCACTGGACAACACTTGCCTTATGAAGATAAAGCACCTGTAATGCCATTTTACGTTGTCGGTGATGAAGCATTTGGCCTTTCAAGTCAAATATTACATCCTTACTCAAAGAAAAATTTAAACTACGCAAAACTTATATTTAACAATCATAATCATAATCATTTATTTCTACCGTTTTAACTACATACTATTATTTTACATACTACTATTTTAACTACAGACATACTCGAGCACGTCGATTTGTAGAATGCACGTTTGGCATTATAGTAAATAAGTGACGTATTTTTCATCACCCCATAAATGTTCATATAAATTTTGCTGTAAAAATTATAAAGGCAGTATGTATTCTACATAACTACGTTCGCTCAAAAGATAGAATAGCTTTAAGGATACATTATACGAATGTCCTTTGGACGAATATCGTCACACAAAAAACAACAGGGGAAGCAATGTCACAAATGGTGTAAATATTCGACAGTATCTGACATCTTATCTTCTTCAACTTCTTGGATCTGTTCCGTTTCAATATGATAAAGTATAAAATTATATACAAACATTACAAACACAATAAATAAACTTAGACCAACCTTGTCCCTTTCTTTCATTCACACTGAGTTCTGCCCAATTACTTATTAAAACTTCGCAGACTTCCTCCCATAATTTTTTTCTTGATATTTATATCAGAGTCAGAGAGTTTTAAGTTTAGTGCGTGTTGTCAGTGATGACCTACGGAACTGAAACGTGGTTCTTCACTGCTGGCCGGATGAGGAAGCTCAAGGTCGCTCAGCGAACTATGGAGAGCGCTATGCTCGGAGTTTCTCTGCGTGATAAACTTATAAATGAGGATATTCGCAGTAGAACCAGAGTGGCTGAAATAGCACAAAGGATTAGTAAGCTAAAGTGGCAATGGGCCAGCGATATAGCTCGAAGAACCGACAACCGATGGGGAAAAAAGGTTCTCGAGTGGCGGTATCGTACCGGCGGATGAAGTTTAGGGCGTCCCCCCACTAGATGGAGTGACGACCTGGTAAGACATGCAGGAAGTCGATGAATGCAGATGCCTCAGGACCGTGCTTTGAGGAATTCCTTGGGGGGAGTCCTTTGTTCAGCAGTGGACTAGTGAAGGGCTGTAATGATGATGATGATTGTTTCAAGTCCTTTTTGTACAACGCTGGCCTTTTTTGCACTTCATCTATGAGCTCTTCTATTTCTTTTAGTTCGTGCTAAGGAGCAGTTAGCCAATAATTAATTTATTAATTGTGCGCAATCGGAAGAGAATCTCGATTCTGATACGATCGGTGTTAATTAGTTGAACAAGATGTATGGACTAGAATATGTCACTATATCTATTCGTATACTCTGCGATTTAGACGGCCAACTTATAATTGTAAATCTGCGGTGTCTCTAAATAGTTTGAACAGTCAAATCAAGTTTCGAAATGAGAAGTTCTCTATTGGAATATAACGTTCAGAAACGAGAATTTCGCTAGTGTATTCTTTATGGTAATCGATTTATTGCTATAAAGAATACACTACAATCGATTTCTAACGTATTTCTTATTTTATTGTTTTTTCGAATTCTACATTCTAAAAAGAGCTTCAGTTTTATTTACTAGCTAAGGTTGTCTACTGTTGAAAACAAAAAATCTACCACATATCGAATCGGAATCACACACTGGTTAACTTTTCGTGACACAAATTAGAATAGGTTTTTTTTTCCACTAGCTTTGTGTTATTGCAATAATTTATAAATTATCACACGGCATCTTTATTGCTTTAAAAGTGAACTACAATTTTAAAACCATAATGCTATTTTTTTTGATGCAATTTTTTCGTCCTCTAGGTTGTGATAGGAGACAAATAAATTTTTGTATGGAGATTTATTTTGTTGATTCAGAGGTATTTTTTTTATCTTTTATGTTTACCTTTCGAATGTTCTGGTTATTTCTACATTATTCTAAACACGATTATTAGATTGGCCGACTGGTCGGCAAAACCGACTATTCGGCATCTTTTACAGGGTGGGCCATGAATTAGTTAACATTTGAAAAAATCGTATAAAAAAAACCATTTAACATATTTTAGAAATCGTTTATTTACGAGAAAGCTAATTAGTTGTAATTTATTTTTTAAAAATTATTTCGTCTAAATGACCACAGTTTCGGTTTTTGCACTCATCTAAGCGAGTCCTGAAGTTTTCGAATACTCTTCTGCAAAGAGACCGCGAGATCGCCGACATCTCTTCGATGATTTTTTCTTTAAGTTGACGCAGTGTATTCGGTTTATCAATGTAGACACGACTCTTTAAATAACCCCATAAAAAGAAGTCTGCTGGGGATAGATCTGGACTTCTGGGTGGCCATGGGATGTCACCCCGTCTGGATATCAGCTTTTCCGGAAACATGTCTTTGACCACCGGCAAGGACTCGTTCGATGTGTGACACGTGGCTCCATCTTGTTGGAACCATGTGTTACGATTATAGCCAGCAAATTCCAGTAGCATCGGTGCTAAGAACTCCCGTAACATTTTCACATACTCGGCAGAATTAACAGTAACTGAACGGCCTCGAAAATCTTCAAAAAAGTAAGGTCCGATGATTCCTTTTGCTGAAATTGCAGCCCATACACTTACCTTAGGAGAGTGAAGTGGCCTCTCATGTTTAGCTTTAGGATTTTCGCTGCTCCAATACCTGCAATTCTGTTTGTTTACATGTCCATTTAGGTGGAAATGGGCTTCGTCAGAAAATAAGATGTTGTGAAAATTACTGAAACGAGTTAACACTTTCACGGACACTGGACACTGCACCAAGTTTGAAATATGACACTAAAAAATTCCATACAAATTACTACCACGCCTATATACTTCCTGACACATAGCAATATATTTGTACAATTGTGGTGAGACAGTACGCTTCTGTACGTGGCCCGAAATAATCGTGCTGTCATATCGTAGTCAAAGTTATAGTCTTCTAATGACAGTACGCTTATGTACGTGGCACGAAATAGTCGTGCTGCCACGTCGTAATTTAAATTATGGTCTTCTAATGACAGTACTCTTATTTACGTGGCACGAAATAGTCGTGCTGTCACATCGTAATTAAAATTATGGCGTTCATATGACAGTACGCTTCGGTACGTGCCACGAAATAGTCGTGTTGTCGCATCGTGATTGATATCATCGTGTGCATATGACAGTAAGTCTCTGTACGCATCGCGAATAGGCGTACTGCCATGTTGCTATCAAGATTATGTGTATAAATAAGTGTAGTATGACAGTACGTCAGTTTACGTCCCTACCATAGGAATCATGATGATAATAATCAAAACTTTGTGAAACAAAAAAAAATGTTTTATTGAATAAATCAAAACTATGGAAAATCATATTTTTATACCAAACTTAAAAAAAAAAAACAAAATAACAGTCTTATATTTAAACAAAAATATTTTCTTAACTTAAACTTGGTTAATAATTAACAAAACAAAATAATTATCAGATACGTCTTTTCTCTCGATTAACATATAATTATTATTTTTCTAGGTCTCCTTTTTTTAATAAGCTAAAAAGCTAACTAACTTAAGCATAACAAACAGTCTTTTGTTTTTCAAAAATGTAGTATCACAATATTTTATAAAATCTAGATTATCATAATATCAAGGATGACATTTTAAATAAGGAATATTTAAAATGTCATCCTTGATATTATGATAATCTATGTATTTATAAAATTACACTTGACAGTTTACAAATCTTTATGCCAATCTTCGAAACATGAAGGACAAAGTGCTGGAGAATTATTGCAACCTTTACAGAAGTAACTTGTGTCACGTCGTACCTTTTGTTTCGAACATTGCTTACATGTCAAAAATGCGTACTTCTTCTTAGAATTTGCAGATGGCATCATGCGAGTCGGCCAATGTCCATGGTTTCCTGAATTTGGCTGAGAAAAGTTGTCCTGCGTTTCTACCTTACTGCGTTCAATATTTTCATGAAGCTGTGATTCAGTTTGAAGCACATTCATTCTTGTTGGAATTTCGAATTAAATCTTTTCCTTTTTCTTCTTTCAGGCCGATCAATTTCCTGATTAACTCTTCTCTGTATGTCACATACTCATACTTCTTATCTTTTTTCACAAAATTTTTATAAATGTAAAAGGAATTCCAAACTGTGGTGTCCATAATATGAAATAGGACCTTTTTATACCACCTTATAGTTTTTCTTGGTGATGAATAATAACTTATCATCTGATCCAAGCGATCAACACCGGACATGGATTTGTTATATCTGTTCACTTCTATGGGTTTAGTTTTCTTTTTTCCAAATCGGTTTGTGACTTCAATGAGCGCTGGATGATCCATGGTGGTAACCATATAGACGTCTCTTTTATCTTTCCAGGCACTTACATAGACTTTTCCTTTCCTAGCCCACACATGCTGGCCTTTTTGGAGTTTCTTTTGTACAATTTCTTTAGGATTGTCTTTTCTTGTCTTACGCAGCGTGCCGTTGGTGTGTGTTTTCAAGTCAAGTAATTTTTCAGAAAGGGTCACTGAATTGTAGTAATTGTCCATAAATAAGTTATGCCCTTTTAAAAGATATGGGCGCATTAAACGCAGTACCAGTTTGTCAGTCCTCCTTTCATTGGCTTCAATATTTTCTGCTCCGCTATACATTATAATATTTAAAACGTATCCATCCGCTGTAGTTAAAACGTAAAACTTTATGCCATACCTAGCTTTTTTTGATTTTATGTACTGACGAAATATTAATCGTCCTCTATAAAGTAGCAAAGACTCGTCAAGAGACAAGTCTTGACCTGGATTGAATACATTTCGAAAATTTTGAGTCACTGTGTTTATAAAACCTTCAATTTTTCCAGACCCTTTCGCACCCAAATCAGCTACATACAGACATCTTAAAATTTGCACATACCTTCTGCAAGACATTGTATAGTTAAAGACAGGGTGAAAATACAAGGGGTCGTCATATGTAAAAAGTTTCCTTTGTTGTGGAACACGAATGTGACCATTTAATAAAGTAAGACCTAAAAATTTTTTCATCTCTTCAGGATTTGTTACTCGAAAGGCAGCATTGCGTGCATGACGTGTATGTGGCCTATTTGTTTTGGTAAGAGCAGCTCCATAGGAATTTGTTCGTTCAACCAAATACTCTATCATCTCTGTGGTAAATAAATGGTCAAATACTTCCTCGCATGTGGTATTTTCATGAACTTCAAATGTCGGGCCTTTCTCTGGAGATCTAAAGTCAATAGAAGCAATATTTGAGACAGTATCTTCCCAAATTGTGTCATTTGGTGGAGGAGTCCCTCGACGTACTGTATTTACTGAACTTCATCTTCTGCTCGGTCCAGCCTCATTTAAATTTGCCTGAGATTGTGCTTGAACCACCTCATTCAGCTCCTCTCTCATTCTAGCTGTAAGTTTTTCTTCTCCTCTTCTATCCTGAGAAGGCTCCTGAATTTTTGGAAATTGAACACCAATCACCTCATTAATCTCCAGACTCATTCTTATTTCTTCTTCGACTTGTTGATTTCTATATTCCGATAGCTCATAATTTTGTTGTAAGTGAATATCATTGTTATCTTTATGATGTCTAACAGCATTGTTCTCTTGACTTTCATACCTTTGAACGCTGCTTTCTTTCTCATTCCCTGCTACTTGAATTTGATGGTGATCGAAAATACTACAATCGCTTTTGTCGGAATCACGTTCGGTTTCATCAAAGTTTCTTTCATTAACAGAATTCTGGTCTAACTGCTCGCCATTATCGCTTTGATCGCCAGCAGAACCATGATACGACTTCTCGCTTTCAGACCCAATCCTTTGTCTATTCCGTTCAAAGCGACTTCTATGAACATCGAAAATTTCACTGTAGTCACTGCTGCTATCTTCATCTTCATCAGCGGGCTCGTAATTGTGGTCTGAACCATATTCACCATCATCGTCAGAATATGGATCGTGGTTAGATTCATCATCTCTAAACAAAGATTTTGGCTTGCCTCTGCTCAATTTGTTTCTTTTTGAGGCCATCTGAAGACAATTGAAAGAGAATTAGACGCACAACAAAAGAAAAAATCGATACTTACCTACAAAATAATATGAAGTTTATTCCATTATATTTTTAAATTTATCGTGCTTTTTATGCTAACGGTTTTTTGATACAATAAGTATTAACCATTTTTGAAAGACTGGTTACTATTCGGTTATCTTTATACAGACAATAACATATTATAACACTAAATTACTTAAAAGCTAATGGTTTATACGGTCTATATCATCCTCAGGTGATATAGACCGTAGAGTCTATATCACCTGAGGATGCCTCGTGTAGAGGCGAAACACGTGTCGTATTATCGTCAGTGGTGTGTCTTGCCTAGTGTAGTGGTGTTGGAAGTAGCGGTGCTGGGATTAGTGGTGACGGGGATAGTGCACGCAATTGAGGGAGGGCGGGAGGTGCTTCTTCATACTAGGTAAGACACATCATTTTGTTTTATAACGCGGATATTTGCGAAGTAAATTTTTGTAAAAGCTTTTATATAATGGATTTCCGCAAAGTAACGTTGATTCTATTAATTATACTAAATTACTTACCAGGAAAAACACGTAAGTATTCAACGAACGACGACGAACGATTTGACGCAAGCGAGCGTGTCCTCTCCTCCCGGTGACACTACGCGACTGGTTCGTTTGACTCACGACGCGAACGCAACGGCTACATTCGTGGTACCACAACATGTGTACTATAGCAAAATTTGCATGTATGTGTAGATAGCACACATTTACTATCATAAAATTTTATGTTGTGACAGTACAATCTTGATACTGTTTGGGTTATGACAGTAAAAGTAGATCTTCATATTAACCGTAAACGAATACCGCGCTTATTTACGTAGTGGCAAATAAGGAAAAAAATATTTTATCGTAAATAGGCGTTGTGTCGTAATATAAATTCAGAATGTCACGAAAATGTGCGTACTGTCCGTGAATGTGTTAACATTGTTTCGGCATATGACTTACGCAAATTTAAATCATTAGGGTTTAGTTCTTGCACTAGCTGGATCTTATATGGATGTAATTTCAAATCTAATTTCAAAATACGGCGTAATGATGTGCGGGATAATCCTAATTCAGCCGAACGTTTGCGTGTCGATAAATCTGGATCACGTCGAACAGAAGCGGAAACTTGCTGCACGTTCTCTTCGCTCCGAGAAGTCCGTGGGCCGCCGGTTTGTTTCACATTTAGTGTAGATCCCGTCTCTTCGAACTTCTTCACCCATTTCTTTATTAAAGGAGCACTTGGACACTGACTTAAGTCGTGTAAACCATATTCAACGCGAAATAAGCGTCTCACAGTAATGAGCGAAAAGTCGTTTAAATAAAACTGTTTCACGCAGTAAGCGCGTTGCGGCCCCGTGAAGCGATCCATTGCGACTAAATTTCCAAGAAGCGCGCTAGTGCCCCCGCCCGCGCCCGCGCCCCGCGCGGCAATAGTTTGCGCGGTAAGTTACATTTAAATGTTAACGAATTCTTGGCCCACCCTGTACAATCGGCGACTAATCGGAAAAATAAGCCGATTATAATTGGCGCTTAGCAAATAAATTAAACCAACATTTGTACCTACGTACTTGTTTCTTATTATATTTTTTCATTAATCTGCTGTGGTAGCTGTTTTTATGATAATTACCTAGCTGCTGCTTATAAGGAATTTAAGAATCCGTGAATAATTAGGTATCATCAATCAATGACACATAAGAAATAAAATAAAATAATATACTTTAACAACATTTTCAAGGTATCACAGAGCCGAAGTATTAAGTTTACTTCGTCTTTATTCAAGAATAATAAAATATAAAAAAATTGTGCAATGGAATCATTGTACAATATTAAAATAAATTGGCATCAAGATGCTTAGTGCTAATAAACGCTTAAAAAGTACTTAAAAATCTTTGTTTTTAATTAGTGGCGAGCTATGATGAAAAAATGTCAATGTTTCGGCGCGATCAGGAAGTAAGCGGTTCCTTTTTTTTTTCTCATGTACATTGCTAGCTTCCGAAAAGAGACGCACGCTATTAACTGTGCTGGCGTGACAACACATATACCATGGCTATACGAGCCATTTCAGGATATCTAGAGCTGTTCTCATGCCACCACTTAAATGGATCTTCAGTTCGTTTTAAGACTGGCAATGTGAAATAAAAATGAAGTTCTTGAGCTGAACTAGATGATTCGTATAAATATTGTGCACTTTTCGCGTTACCATTTCTTTGTAAACTCCTCAAAAGTTGCGATGAGCTGTCATATCGGAGTTAGGATTTTGGGTATTGGCCCCGTCGTTATTTGGGTCGCTGTCATCATCATCACTCATACTGTTCTTTAAAGCTTCCAGCAAAAACTGTGATCTTACTGTTACTATATTTTCATCATCAAAAAAACTGTAGTTTGTACTTTGGATCGAGCAAAGTTGCAAATGAAAATAATTTATTCTATTCCAAATTTCTGAATCTAGTTTTTAAGCCCTAGTAATAAGAAGAGTTCCACCTTGTGGAAACATCTTGAACAAGAAGGTAAATTAAGTTCTTTTTGAATAGCACTTAGTTTTTGTTGAGATGGTGCTGAATGATTGAAATGAGTAACGATACGCCTCGATTTTTTAAGAATGTGTGCTATATATTCAATTTTAAGTGAGTCGTGGATTTCCAATTGCATAGTATGAATAAAACATGGAACTGCTTTGAAAATCGATTCAACGATAGCCTTTGCAATTTTCCTCCCATTATCTCGCACAACAGCGTGTATTTTCTATCAATTAATAATGTTGAGATCAGAAATTGTCATTGATTTCTTCGGTTCGTAATTTACCTTTTTCTCTTTTATTCCATCGGTTTTGGAGCACTCGTTTCCAATAAATAAAAATCTATGAGAGCCTGATCAACTCCATAAGACAATTTTGCCTCTTGAATTTCAGAAATCTTTTTTATCACTTCTTGGGGATTTAGTGGGAGTATTTCCGTTGCTCTAAAACCATTTCTTATGTTTTTTCCTCCTTCAGCTTTATAGCTTCTGTCAATTCAATTAGCAATTTGGGGAAATGTTTTTTTGTTCAGTAAAGGCTAGTCGGGATGTTTCATTTTGTACTTGTACAAGATTTGTCGCCAAGCTTTATTCTATGGTGCAATAAGTCCTACGTCATAAGGCTGGGTGAGGTACGTATACCTCTACTCTCTGCGTAGAACTCTTCACATAACTCTATTACTTTCACATTTAAGTGACCTGGAGTTTCTTGTGTCTAGATAATAATTATCTTTTGAAAGTAATCTTCCAACATGGCGCTGTCAACGTAACGTTGTATCTGGTAACAGGTGACCCCCCCCCCCCCCCCCCCAGTAATCCATTCAGAATAAAAGTTTGTTACTTTATAGACTGCATATAAGGGCAATAATTGACCGCTCGCAATTGCTGTAAACATAATAGATATGTTTCCTTTAGTAGAATTGGCTAATCTTTCGGGATATCTTACTCCGCGTCGAAATATACCTTTAGAAGATTAAGTAATTATATTTGCGGCTGGGATATTTTCCAATGTTCTGCTTAAATTATCAAAATAGTTAGCTATTTCTTGTGGACCCTTTTCGGCTCTTGCTTTCGAAATATTTTGTGTAGTTCTTACGGTTAGTCCATCACTATGTCAAACCAAAAATTTAATTATAATATAATGTATTTTTTTTTATATTCGGGACCCAATTTCACGTCGCGACTTTCGGAGTCGAATTTTAAGCTTGTGTTTGTTTTTTTGAAATTTTAAATTGAAAAAAGTAGGATCAGAACCGATTGTTAATACATACAATGTGTATGTTTGTATTTTAAAGTTCATGCATTTCATGGGGATTGGTCAATTCAATTAGTTTCGAACTCGACGGGACTCCTTAATCATGAGTTAGTTACGCCGCGGTATCGCAACGTCATGATTAAAGACTTTGGTCGAGTTCAAAACTAGTCGGCCAATCATGATAATGCATGTGAGGAAAACCGCCCATAAATACTTCTAAACTAGAATATCATTTTCGGAAGTATATTAATTATACAAAAATTTATGTCAGACCATCTGCTATGAAAGTAATCAAAAAATTGACAACTACTTCAATTCTTGATAAGTTAAAAAAATACGTACATAGAATACATAGTTTATAAACGAAAAACGATCTCAAAAAAAAAACAAAAGAGTGACAACCCTTAGTATTTTTTGATGGCGGGTAATGTTGTAATTTTTTAGTCTGAACATTATTGAGTAACTTTGCCCATCATCAAGTTTTGATTTATAAACCCTTTGGTACTGAAACTATAATTAAAATACTCTACAGTTGATATTTTATAACATACATTAAAAAAAAACTAACCTGCGTTTTCACAATGAAGTACAATTCACAAACACTTTACTAAAGAAATTTTGTCCGCGAAAACACGCACCACACGAAACTAAAGAGCCACAGTTTCACATCCAAAGAGCCGCATGTGGCTCGCGAGCTGCAGGTTGCCGACCCCTGTCCTAAGGCATAGTACACATTAAACTAAGTATAAATTATAGATTGCGTGAATAAAACACTTGTTTGGTTTAATTAGTCTTATTTGGATTAATTGAAATAATACTTAGAGTAACCAAAATTATACACTTGCAAAAAATCAACATCGATTAATTAGAAAATTTAAAAATATTTATATAAAATTAGCAATAAATGGAATGTTAACAAATACCATTGAGTTATAAGTACGTAGTACATTATAACGCAATGACAAATACTTATTTTTTCACAAAGTAATAACTCAGTACGTAGAGAGAGAATAAACTGTACTTGTACATACTCCCTCTACGAACTCAGTATAAAAAGAAAACATGATGTCGGAGGAATGTTCACGAAAACAAGATGAAGTCTAATTATTTATTAAAATATTTCAAAATTTGAGTCATTGACACTGGAATCATTATTATTATTTTTAAATAAATATAAATTATCATGGATAGGATGAATCAATCT